TTGCCGAGGGTGAATGATGTGGAAATAGTTTGAGGATGATTGTGATATTGACGTGGTTTATGGTAAGCACGGGGTGTGAGACGAATGTAGACACGGATGTTGGGCAGGTCAAGGGACGAAAAGGGAAGAAAAGGTCAGGTTTATTCTTGGAAAGCAGGGGAGAGAGGTGGGGGCGACGGTTTCCTATTATAGTTCATGCTTATTATCGGAAATGAGGGTCGAAATTGGGGGAAAGGTTTTTTGTTCATACCGGAGGAGGTAAATAGTTGAAGAGGAAGAGGGGTGAGGAGAACGGATGAAGAGGGAAGCGGTTGAGGTAGACTGTTGGTTGAAGAGGGACAAAAGAAAATGGAGGTGGGGGAAGTGGATGGGAGGTCGAGCTTTGCTTGTGGTATTGATTGTTCTTGAGGTGTGAGAACCGGGAATAGGAAAAGATATTAGGGAAGTTTTGAGTGGAAAATAGAAGTAGCGGTGATTTTAGGGGCGAGTTCGTGTGTGAAGAGCGAGTGTAGGAAAAAAATTGCCTTTTAGGAGATTGATAGATGCAGATAGGGATTGGTCGTAGTTTTGGCTTGGAGAGTATAAAAAGAGAGGGGTGATGAGCGGAGGGAAGCGGTGAGGTTCCAAGACTTAAGGTCTAAGAAGGTGCCTCAGAGGGGGAACTTATGCCAAAATTTTATAGGTTTTCGTGGTTTAATTGGTTTGGATTTTGTGGAATATTTGAGTGTAATAAATTTGGTGTTGCTTAAAGCAGACTGGAATATGAACTATCCAAAGTATCTTTGCCCTCCTCCTTAATACATGTGGCTAAACATGTGATTATACCTATGCCTGTACATCTAATAATGTAAACATATACTTGTGTCTAAATCTATACTAATACCATGTCCTTCAATAACAAGACTACACTCTGTGTTTTTATGAAAACAGATTTATTCACATAACTTTTGACTGAATGGAGCTAGCCTAATGGTTCCAGTGAGTGACTAAGGGTTAAATGACCTGTAGAGTCCAATAGAGCAATAATACATCAAAGATTATAACCCATTATCAAGAGTGGCTCATTATTTTATGCAATTTGGAACTTGAAACACATTTGGCACACTACAGCGGTGTTTTGGCCCTGTAGTAGCTGTTAGAGACTTGTAGCGCAGCAGCATAGGGTGCCCAAAACCGGCTAAAGTGCAATTTCTGCATCAAATAAGCACCATTACTCTAATACTTTTTGGTCAAAAAGTGTAGCAGCCCATTGTTGACTGAAGTCTAGAACAACAATGGCCTATTCACCAGGATTATTATTATTAGGAGTCAAAAAAAATCCATGTGTCCATGGTATTGTAGCCATTCAAGATTAATGCACAACAAGCTGGTAAAATGTGTGTATTGGGGTCTGGAAAGCTCATCATGAATGTTGGGGAGAAGCGGTATATACAGCTCTTCCAGGAAAGGTTGTCTGTCCATGTCTGATTTTTTTTTGTTGTCAAGCATTGTGCTCCTTAGGCATAAGCTTTGACACCTCATGAACAAGGATTCAACTAGCTTGGGGCACCCTTTGAGATGGGAGTCCTCCTTGATTTAGTTGATTCCTATTGAGCTGATGTTGTTTATGCATTATATATGACTCCCTATTGGAAAAAGGGAAAAAAAATTGAGGAGGAATTTGTTTTTTCAGATTTTCCCAGACTAGCTGCCCATAATCATTTTTTTTCCCACTGAATCTCCATGGGATGTTTTTCTTGTTGTATTGTTAAAGATGATGCTACATAGATTGGTTGTGGAAGTATCAATGTTGACAGGCTGAGCAGTAGGAGCTAAGATCAGGAAGTTTTGAATCCTGATGGAGGATTGCAGTCAAGAGAAGGAGATGTTGAGAAAGTGTAAATACATGCAGACCCGTACAGTGTTAGGCCATGTGCCAAGCCGCCCATTCTCCATCTGTGAACCTCCACTCTGTATGTACAACCTCACCATCACCACCTCAACCCCCTCCCTCCGCCCCCAAAACAACGAAAAAAAAACCACCCACAAACGAACCAAAGATGGGACGGGAGACAGCCGAGAGACCTGGCTCCGCCGGCTGCATCTTACCCTCGACCAGCCAACGAAACCCGGGCCAGAAACTGATCGGATATTTGCTCGGCTTCTTGGGCCGTCTATTACTCCTCCTTCTTCCTCTTCTTCTCTAACAACAACAATACCTCCAAAGGAAATCGAGCTTCAACTTTCGAATGTAACGCGGTCTCATTGGGATTAGTTGGGCCTTATCGTTCTATCATATTTTTTTTTTTTTTTGGAGTCGTACTGCATATAGATCTTGGGGGTTACTGATTGTTTTTTTTTGTTTTGGTGATAGGTTCCAATCGGCTTGAGTGTGGTCGTCTTCGGAGCGGTTTGTCTGACGAAAATCTTGCTCGATATTTCGATTTCTAATCACCCGAAGATCCACGAAGAAGCGTACCAAGAACTACTTTCAGTACGTGTCTTTGCTTCTTCATGATCCTCAATAATAATCAAACCAAAACAAAAAAAAATCATCGTGCTTTTCTCTTCACATGTTCATTTACATATCCTTTTTGATAGGATATTCGAATGGCTAAAGAAGATCTCAGAAGCAAAGGAATCTCTGTCGATTGACTGTCAACTTAAATTACATATACAAACAGCACAATTCTCGATTTTGTGTTGAAATTAACGATTCTTGATCTTGTTGTATTATTAAATATGAAAAGAACAACAACAACGCTACGTAAAATAATTTATTGATTTTTGGCTAAACTATACAAAAAGATGTTCTAAGAAATCTTTTGGGGAAGGGATACAGTATGACACTTGAAGTGTGCAAAAAAAAGAGGAGAGAATAGCGGTCGGGCTACGGTTCGGGTTGACTATCCATAGCCGACTGGTCGGCCTGAGTATGATCGATAGGTTGCGGGTCAGTGACCGGAAGAGATACGCCAGGATCTTCGTGGTCAGTCGAGTTAGTCAAGGATGGCAAGTCGGATTCCAATTGATCGGAAGGAGCGGAATCCGTAGCCTGGTCGGGTAATTGAGAAATAGTGGGCGCCGAGGACGGATCGACAGGGGGAACAGACGAGGCCGAGACGACGGCCGCTTTCTTCTCCCATCCTCCGATCGACTCCATCTCGTCCTCCGACTTGATGATCGCCTTGCAGATCAGTTGGGTCAACGAGGACGTCCCTGGTCGGCTGATCTTCTCGACCTTCCAATTGGCCGCATGGAGCATTAACACTAACTCTTCTAACGTCCGTTCTCGTCCCGACCCATATAACATCAACTACATATTCCCAATCCGTCATCATCATTCGATCAGCCTCTACCCGAAAAAAAAAACTCAGCGACAATGGTTTTGCTCACTTGTGAATCTAACAGATCGATCAAAGGTCGCCCGGTTTCCTCTAAGATTTGAGGATGGGCTGCATCGTGACAAAACGAGCTTTGAACGTGCTGTGATAGTTTGACGTCCTTCAAGATTTCCCAGGTCTGAAGCGGACAATCGTTGACAGACTCTTGACTCCAATTGGTCACAGTCCTTTCGACCAAGATCAATTTAGTCGATGACGAGGACGCTTCCGAAAGCTATGTAGGATTTTTATTTTTATGATTGAGATACAAATCCGGTCAGAATTACATGCTTGGGTATAAAAATAGATATAGGGGATTCTAACGTTTTTGAGGATTTTGACAGCTGTTTCATCGTTCCATTCTCGGATGACAAACCGGACGAAGAAGACACGAACGCCTCGACGATTCTGAACATCAAACAGATTATGTGCTTCCAAGATCACTCGTTTAGAAGAAACCGCTTGAGGGAAATGTTTTTGCCAAAACTGTGCTTTCCAACACATAACATTCATCAAAAAAAAAAAAAAAAACAGTGCATGAGTAACAAGAATAAAGAAGATATCTTGTGGTTTGATGGACAGAGTGGGAAAGAAAAAAAAGGAAGGACTGACAGCTTGGGCTTGGACAATCACTTCGGCTCTGTCTTGTAATACGATCCTTAAACGTGGATACGAGCGAGCCAAACTCAATGCGACATGACCTACCCCTCCACCCACATCCACCATCAAACCTTCCCCCCCCCAAAAAAAAACAGTTATGTTAGTTCCAGTGGAGCGTGTAGATATATATCTTGTATGAAAGGATCCTTACCGTTTCCGATGGTACCCCAGTTGTATCCACTCAGCCCTTGGTCACTGGCCCCAATACGAGACAGACATTCTGTCGCTGTGCTGCCAAATAAGCCGGGTGTAATTGATTTTTTGTTTGTTTGTTTGGTTTATTTGGTGGATAGATGGGGATCCCATGAATGAAAGTCAGTTGTAGATAGATTGTTAACATCACAGTCAAAACAAAACGAAAAAAAAAAACAGCAAGCGAATGGAAGAGTGTGAAGTAGAAGAGAATAAGTATGGAAATATCAAAGAGAAAGAGCCGTACATAAATCGTTTTAATCGGACTTCTTGATCATAGCTGAGTTGAAGAAACGTTCGGAAATCCATTCCGGTTTCGAAGGCATGAGAGAATGGGGATTGGTCGCCGAAGAAAGACCTCGAGCTTGAGGGCTCCAGGATACATTCAGTCAGATGAGAAGAAGACTTGAACATTTCGTCGGTCGAATGGGTGATTAATGCTGGCAAGGTATTCGGACCCATGTATTTCTCGGAATTACTATTCGATCAACTTGCATCAACTTTCTTTTTTTGGTTCAAATGAATTGAGATGGAAGTACCTCAGAGGAAAGGAGAGGCTAAAAGAAGAAAAAAAAAAAAAAAAGGACAAACAGTTCGCGAGGCAATTCTTCGGCAGATTTGCCGGTATCGAGGGCCAAACTATGGCGATTATTAGCGAACCAACGTTTCTTGGGCGAGGTGAAGATATGATGGGAGACGAGGAGTCTGAGGACCCGTTCGAGCCGGAGCGGATTAGCGTCGCATTTCTGGGCGATCTCTTGGATGTCCATGCCCGTCGGGCCGGCCGGTCTGAGGATCTCGGGGATGTGTCCTTCCACGGCCACTCGTATTGCTGATGAGACGTTGAACTGTTCGAATCATCCATTCCATTTTTTTTTTCAGTAAGTACTTTTCCTTCCATATTAAAAGAGAAAAAAGAAAAAAGTGATGACTGACGGCTAGGGCATGTTTGCAAATGAAACCGGTACTGTCTTGGACCTTGGAAGTCAATTCGGCGCAAGCGGCGACGATGAGGTCGACGGCTTCGAGCACCTCGTAAGGAGTCACTGGATGGGCGCGGGCGTATCTGGATTGGTTGTGTTGAGCCTTGGCTGATTCGGCGACGGCTTTCTCGATCGTCTGGACTGAGTTGGAGATCAGATCGGCGAGCGAAGATAGCGACATGGTTTTTCTGTTTCCTGGTCGAGGTAGCCGGAGTGGATGGATAAGGAAGAGGGAAGAGATGATGATGATGGTGGTGGTAGTGAGTCGCCTGCTGTGAGTCGGCCAAAGAACCTAGAAAATAACGAGGCCCCTGTTTACCATATGGGCCCAAACTTACAAAATTCATCTTCCTCATGAACATTTCACCATCACCAAGAGTCACCATTGCCAACACAAAGGCAAATGATTTTCTCTCCTCTTTCCATCAATTTGTGTGTAGAAGGCAGACAAAAATGCCCATTTTTCAAAATTGAAGCCCATCATTACTGGCCCTTATAATATTGGATTCTTAGTTTAATAAAACATTAACCAAACAACATTGTTATTCAGGCAAGTCATGGCTCAAAAGTGTGATATTGGTATTGATAGCCCAATATCTCATCTTTCTTCATGCTGACATTGAGAGCAATAGATTAACTTGAATTAACAACAATGTGCATATTTGTGAGTGGTTTAGTTTTTTTCATATTCAATTAATCATCCAATAGGGGGTATCAATTGTAAACAAATCCACCATAATTTAATTAGGGGCTTGGAAAAACAACTCCCAAAAGTTGCTGACTCCCATATATGGTTGATTGGGAGTCGTGGTTCCAAATGCATGGCTGACTTTCTTTGGGAGTTGGCCATCCATTTATGTTTTATTTATTTATTGGAGGACTTCCCATCGCAATTTAGAGCGCTTTTTAGACCTCTCTCAGTCTTAAATTAAGAAAGCAATTGAGATTCCAACCAGCTCATGTGAGAGCTGTTTCTGGAAGGCTTCAGAAAAAAAAAAAATTTGATAAAAAATTTAGATCTAGGGGGTGTAAAACAACTTCTGGGAGGGTCGTAGATTGCGACGGGAAGTCATCCATTTAGGGGCTTGGAAAAACAACTCCTAAATTTTAGGCGACAACTCCCATTTGGTCGTTGACATTGGATGACTTCCCGTCAAATCTGCGGGTCTCCCAGAAGCGATTTAGAGGCCTCGAAAGCTTGATTTCCCATTGAAATTCTAGACTTTTCGGGTCTAAATCGACATCTGTGAGGGTCCCAGATCCGACGGGAAGTCCTCCATTGAGAGGACCGTCTGCAGACCACCCCTGGACCAACTCTGGACCCAGGGCTTGGTCCGGGGAGTCGTCGGACCAATATGAATTTTTTTAATGGGAGTCGTCCACCCATTTTGAAATACATTTTTTTTGGGAGTCGTTGCCCCCAATTCTCATCTTTTTTCTGGTTTTTCTGTTTTTTTTTTTTTTTTTTTTTTTTTTTTTTTTCATTTGGAGTTGTCAGGCTATCCTCACCTGACAAAACGTGGCCCAATTTCCCAAAGTGACGACTCGGCTGTTTTTTTTGTCTTGCGGGAGTTGTCAGACCAATCCCTAGGAGTCGGCTTGGGAGAAGAAAAAATGTTTCTTCTCCCATGCAGGAGTTGCCAACCCTAACCCGCATAGCCACAACCACCCATATCCACTCACCCAAATTGACCTTCAAGTTCAATGACAAAACCCAAATTTTTATTGCTTTTCTATCCAATTTTTCTCATTTTTTCCCCTTGCACTGGCAGTTACATAACCCAAGACTCTTTGCTGCCCCTCAGCTCATGAAGGATTGGAAAGAAAAGGCCTCAGAAGAGGCTTGGGGATGGGAAGCCAAATTTTCTGATTGTTTCCAATTGACTGTAGAGGAAAATTGAAAATCCAATGACCCACTACTAGGGTTTTTTTTTCCTGTGTCTTTTTTAGTTTTTGATTTTTTTCCTCTATGTCCTTTTTTACCCTTTTTTTCTTACATTTCTGATCAATTTTGAATGTTTTTTTTTCCCGTTTATCATTTCTTTTATCTCTCACAATTGTTTTTTTCAATGAATCTAATTTTTTATCATTGATAGAGTGCCTTTGGGGCGGGGCCCCAGTGGCTCAACTTTTTTTTTTTGAGTCTCTAGGGACACTATATGGTGACGACTCCCGTATTTAGTTGGATGACTCCCATCTTTTTTAATGTAAAAAAAAGTAGAAATACTTGGTGGAATTAGTGCGCCGGCTCCCGCCTTTTAGGCGGACGACTCCCATATTTTTTTAATAAAAAAATTAAAAATCTCCAGTGAAATTAGGGCAATGACTCCCTTTATTTTTTTGGGAATTGGAAGAACGACTCCCGCCGATGATCCCTTGACCAAAACGGGAGTCATCACCTAAAATTTAGGAGTCGTTTTTCCAAGCCCCTTTAATTATTTATTTTGTATTTTTGGGAGTTGGCTCCCCAAAACACCCCTCATGCTTGAGGGGATTTGGGAGTTGGTCCCACATGACCAGAAGGAAATCCTTCCGGTTGATGAAAAATGACAACACCATTGATCGGAAGGGATTCCTTCTGGTCAATGAGGTTGTTACACCTCATTGATTGGAAGGATTTCCTTCCGGTCAATGAGGAGCAACAACACCACCAACTGGAAGGAATCCCTTCCAGTTGATGAGGCTGTTACACCTCATCAACTGGACGGAATCCCTCCTGGTTGATGAGTGCTGTTACACCTCATTGATTGGAAGGAATCCCTTCCGGTCAATGATGTGTAACAGCCCTCATTGACCAGGAGGGATTGTTTCTGGTGTTACACCTCATCAATTGGAAGGAATCCCTTCTGGTTGATGAGGGCTGTTACACCTCATCAACCAGAAGGAATCCTTTCAAATTCCGGTCAATGAGGCTTTTAAACCTCATTGATTGGAAGGAATCCCTTCTGGTTGATGGTGCTGTTGTTTCTCATTGACCAGAAGGATTTCCTTCTGGTCATATGGGAGCAACTCCCAAATCCCCTCAAGCATGAGGGGTGGTTTGGGGAGCCGACTCCCAAAAATACAAAAAAATATTGAAAAAAAAACAACATAATTTGATGGCCAACTCCTAAAGTTGGCCATCCATTTGGGAAAACAACTCCCAATCAACGTCTGACAACCATATTTAGGAGTTGGCAACTAAATTTTAGGAGTCATTTTTCCAAGCCCCTTTAAATTTAATTAACTTGTTTAAAAAAGGGGCTTGGCTAATTGACTCCCAAAACCTGCAACCCCCAAATTTTCCACCAATTTCCCCAGGAATTGGGAGTTGATTGCCCAAACCTGACCAGTTTGGGAGTCAAATCCCAAAGGACTTTATTAAAAAAAAAAAATCCCCTGGAGGGGTTGAAAGTCAATGCCCCAAAACTGAATGGGTTTTGGGGGACTCCGTGAACCAAAAACAGCCCCCAACAGCTGGGAGGATTCCTCCCAGCCACTGAGAGCACACTATTGACGGCCAACAGTGTACACCCTTGGTAATTGAGAGTGTATACCCTCAAAGTCCAAGAGAGTACTCTTGGTTGTTGAGGGTGCACACCTTGATGGCCATTGGCCAAGAATGTACCTCTTGGCTGTCTCAAAGGGTCAAGAGTATAAACTCTTGACCCGTTGAGGATGCACACCTCAACGGCCAAGGGTGAGTCACTGTGTCTTTTACTGCTGCAGTTATACTCTCAGATTTTTCCAGATGTCACTTACTTAACCAAAAACATACAAATGACTGTGGTTTTTATTTGAGTTGCACAGCCCACAAACAGGTGACAAAAATTGGAATTTTTTCACGGTGATGTTTTCTTGCATGTGACTGTGCAAGTAGTGGCAGGGACTGTGGACAAATTTGAACAAATCATTTCAATGTGACAACATTTTTTTTCACCTATCTGCTGTGTTGGTAGACACCATGGTGATCGGGGTGTCACTCCTTGAAATACAAGAATGTGAATGCCACAGTAGGCACAGTGATTGAACTCAAAAACCCATTGGAAGCAACATGATGTTGAATTGGATGGAGCAAAAAGAAAATGAATATAGTTGGAGGAATCACATCAGTGTAACTATTTGATGGGTTACACTAACAGTTAGTGTAACTGATAAAAAAGTTACACTGGTAGTTAGTGTAACTGATTTTAACTTGTTGCCATTGGATCAAATTGAAAAGCCCCATGGTGAGGCTCATCACCCACTCCTAAAACCAAACATGCAGTTCTTCCCTCTTCTTCTGCATGCTGCAAGTGTTGGACATCTTACTTGATCTGTTCACATTTCTTATACGGCCAGCAGTCCCCAGTATCATTTTTCAATGCCCCAAGATCACACACATCCCGCAGCTCATGAAAATATCAATGTGTCATTTTTACAAGCACAGCAGAAAGAATAACGGGAGAAAAGCAAAAAGTAGAGATGGTTGCTGCGTATCCGGATATCCGCTTGGATGCAGATATCCACTCACAATTTCAGAAAAATCAGACATCCGCATCCGCTGGCAGATATCCATTGGCGCTGGTGGGTATCCACAGATATCCGTGCCAGAAATGACTCCAAGGGTGCAAAATGAATGTTCCTTGGGGAAATTTCAGATTCCGAGTGCTGCATAAACAGCAATTCTGAAGTCCTTGCAGCCTGAAAGCCTTCAATTTTTTTTTCCCTTTGTTGCTTGCAGCCTGTGACCCTCCCAAAAATATGGAAAAAAACATATTTCTTTTTGCTCTTCAATTTTTTTTGTTGAGCAGTTGGAAAAATTTCTTTCTTGTTTTTTAGGGCCTTAATAAAAAAAACACAGTTTTTCCGCGTGTTGACACGGTTTTGCAGCAGTTAAGGTATTCAAAGTTGAAATCATAAAATCATAGATTGCATGAAATCATAATTCATAAAAAAACCCCTGGAAAAATCTATGCACTTCCCCCAAACTCTCCTTCTTTTGCATAAGAGTGCATGAGTGTTCCCTAACCGCACTACTAACCTTCCCCTCTCACCAAAATTCTGGCTTCAAAATATGTCCACCGTCAACTCAACTCAGCCATCCAAGACTGACGCCTCTCAACCTACTCAAAACACCACCCAAGCCTCGGCGACTATAACCCCTCACACAACAAATCACGAAACACCAGCTAGAGGACGTGGGAGTCGCGGCGGCAGGGGTGGAGGCGCCCAAGGTCGAGCCCGTGGTGGCCGGGCAGTACAACGTGGAGGTCAAACTTGAAGCCAGCCAGGTACTTGATTGGATCCCCGCTCATGGACCAAGGATCGCAACCAAGACGGGCTTTCGTCCGTTGACCTGATTGTTGAATGGCTAACCGTCGAAGGCCGCTATGACCTCTGGCGGAATTCCACTGTCAGCAAATGGGAGGTGTGTGAGCTGATCAATCAATACTTGATTGACAACGGTGGTGAAAGTTGTTTGTGGCGTGGCATTGAACAACAGGTATGTCTTCATACCTGTTCTATTAACTTGCACACATGTTGATTGGTTTGATCCTTCCGAGGTAGGTTACTACCCTTGAGAAAAAATTCCGTGATGCGCTGGCTTCAGCGGTGGGCCGCTACGCTACACTACGCTACGGGCCCATGTAGCGTTAGCGTAGCGGCGCCAATTTTTTTTTTTGTGTAGTGTTAGCGCGCCGCTACGGCCGCTGCGCTACGCTAACTTGTAGCGGCGCTAACACTAGCCATTTTTTGGTGTAGTGTTAGCGCCTCGCTGGCGCCGCTACGCTGCGTTACACTACACTACAGCGTTTTTAGCGGGAAAAAACGCCAAAAAACCGCTAAAAACTGCTGTAGCGCAGCGTAGCGGGTGGTTTTTTGCGCCCTGTGCGCGTAGCGTTAGCGCAGATGGGGAGAATTGCGCTAACGCTACGCTAAACGTTAGCGCATTGTTTTGCCCCGTGCGCGTAGCGTTAGCGCTGAAAATGAAAAAAGCGCTAACGCTACACTACATTGTAGTGATTTTTTGCTACACTACGCTACGCTAACGCTACAGTTAGCGTAGCTGGCCCACCGTTGCTGGCGTGGCGAGACCAAACTGGCCAAGGGATCTTGGATGAGGCCGATGAGCTGGCACAACAAGCTGGCGGCAACTCCGAAGATGAGGATTTTGTCGGTAATGCGATTACCGAGACCGAAAAAAAGATTCGAGCAATTTGTCGTTACTTCTACGAGCTTGAACCGGATATGCTCGATCGACCCTCTGCTGTCCCCTTGAACACACATGAACAAGGGGATGATGATGACCTGACTTGTGCTCTCAACCTCGATCGGAACAAGGACCGTCCCACTACCCCTGAGCATTGGAGCGCGTCCAAACGAGGTGGACCCGCATCACCGGTTAACACCCTAGGACTGCCGTCTCCTGACGTCATCCAGTCCTTACCTGCCACGGCCAGATCTACGGCGCAAACTCCTGTGGGAACTGGCACACCAGCGGTGGCACCGTTGTAAAGCTCAAAAGTGTTTGTGAAAACCTTTTGCTGAGTGTGGAAAGGGATGAATGAGGATACCTCTGCCTTTCCTGGATCACTAGACACTAGACAAGCCCACCAATCTCAGATTGGAAGGTTTAATAAAGTGATAGTGGAGTGTATCAAAAGATAACTGTGGCTTAACAGGTGGACAAAGGGTTTAACCCAGTTTTATAAGGGTCTAAAAGGTTGATTTGAGAGTGAGAGAGTGAGTCTAGCTGATATTCCAATGGTAAGGGGATGGTATGTAATGGTATGTAAGGGTTTGTAAGGGTAGGGGGTATGAAATAGGTGGATACTAAACTGAGGGGAAAACAACTGAGAGGAGAGCCTCTTAAATACACAAAGGTGAGGGATTTTAGCTTCAGGGGAACAAGAGAATGAGAGATTTTAGCTGGCCAGAGCTTTACAATGAGGGGATTTAGCTAGCCAGAACATGTACATGAGGTATTTTGGCTGGTTGAGCAACCTACATGATGTCATAAGAGCTATTTTAGTTTGAACTAGAAGTCTACATGAGGGTTTTATGCTGGTGTAGCATTTTACATGAGGTGATGTACTAGTCTGCAAGCTAAGGTGAGGTGATGAGTATTACATGAGTGATGTGAGATAGTCTGACAGCTGCAAGGAAGATTAACAAGTGACATGACAACCTGCATGATGTCAATTGTAAATCCAGAGTGGTACCAGACCAACACTGCATGTGTCAACTGTCAGAAGATAGTGGAGTGGTGTGTATACATGTACTATAATGGTGTGAGAGTGTATGTAGTTGTCCTGCAATGTACATATGTATAGTGTGAGTTATGTAATTTGTTGGTGTTGTTGAGTGTTGAAGTGTTGCCATGGTGGTGAGTTGTGTAATTGAGTGTGGTGATGGTCCAGAGAGTGTAGCTTCCAATCCAGTTGAGTTCCAGTGACGCCTCCAGTGGTGACCAAGGGTGAAATTGACCATAGAATCCAGTTCTTGAGCCATAATGGTTGATTTATGAGTGTATATATGAGAAAAAAGGTGTGAAGAGTATGTAATTTGTAATAAAAGAAAAAACTGTAAAATTTTTAAATGGGCCAGATGGCTACCCTTTAGGTATACCACACCGTCCCCTTCGAATAGGGTGGCCTCGATGTCAGCTCTGGCTGCTCAAGCTCAGCGGCGAGTCAGCTATGCTGAGAGGATTACCGACCGGCTGTTTCCATCTCGGGATTAAATGGCCAGTCAAACGACTGCCGAGATTCAGATGAATCATGACCGATTAGACACGGACAATCGAATGGTTGATGCAAACATCGCCCTGATCAATGCCTTAAGTCAAGGCCTCGCGCCTACAGCCAATTCGCCCGAGCAGATCAGCCTTCAGAACCACCAAATCCGGCTTGATGTCCAGCTCCGAGAGGTGGAAGTCGCTCGCGCCCGAGCCGCTTTGGCTGCCGAGGAGGCTTCAGGTGCAGCGTTTGCTCGGGCGAGGATGGTCCAGGACTTCATTGGATCAGGATTAGCACCAGCCGAAGCCCTTGAGATGACTAATCAGATACTCGGGCCGGTCTTGTTGGCCCCTCCACAGACTCCTGTTGACCCTTCTCAGACTCCTGTTGACCCTTCCCCGCCTTATGATGAATAGCTTCTTTGGGTCCAATGTTATATTCTCCTTGATTTCATGACATGCTTCATTTTGCTCTCACATAGTAATCAAACACAAGCCCAAAGGGAAATAAGAAATTTTTGATTGTCATTATATAGTAAGCAAACACAAGCCCAAAGAGAAATAAGAAATTTTTTATTGTCATTATATTAATTTAAGGTTCTAAAGAAGCTGGCAAAACCTCTGAAATAGAGCATCTTGGCGAGCACCGTCCTCGCACATAATCAAGCCTGGATCTTCCTCTTCATCCTCTTCAGGGTCAAAGTTCTGAACTGGTTGGTTCAGCTCCGCCCACTCTACTTCGCGGAGGTCAAGGAGATAGTTGTGTAATACAACACAAGTCCGAATCCATGCGTTGAGTTGTTTGGCGGTCTTCTTACCAAGAATCTCAATTGAGAGCGACTTCAACGATTGCCACCGATTTTTGAGCATTCCAATTGTATGCTCGACCACGACTCGGTTATGGCTCAGCTCATAATTGAACTGTTGCTTTTCAGGAGGTAGGGACCGACCAGGCGATCTCTTGAAGGCAGGGATGATAGTGTCTGTTGAGGTGTAAGCTGAGCCGGCAAGCAAGTATTCGCCAGCCGAAAAAAAGCCCCGCGGATTCCGGTACAGCTAAATCATAACGGACACAACTATCAGACTTTTGACAGCTCTAAAAGAGATGAAATTGTCCTACTTGGCAGTTCTTATACACTCGTTGGTCGTGGGCACTCCCACACCATCCATGGACTGCGTAGATGATTCTCCTCTGCCAATTGCAGACGATCAAGGAGTTAACTGTGTATACCATTTTGCGCATCCAGTAATCTTCTTTGTGCTTTGTCGGTGCCGATGCCAAAGGGAAAATTGTCCCATCGGCGAAGCCGATGCAGCCATCAAACACCGTCTTCCCAGCTAGATTTGCGGTCAGATTGGCACGCTGTTGAGTGTTTGGCCAGTACACCTGTTTTTTCTCCAATGTCTCAATGATCGCAAACATACAGCGATTAGTGTAGTTTTCCACGGATCCCGCTATGAAAATGGGTTCTCATAAGCCTTCAACTCCCTTGACATTAAAAAAAAAAGAAACTTAATAAACTCACGGCTGATGTTGTATTATTGTCCAAGGACATGGGGGGAGCCACCATTCCCATACAAGCCAAGATTGGAGAGAGCAACTATAAGCTGCATTTTGACTGGTGCTTGAGGGTTGTTGGAGTTATTATGAAATACTGGATGGTTATTAATTGTGTCTGCTAGCGAAAAAAAACTTTTTCGCGACATCCGTGCCTACACTCAATCAAATCAGCACAAGGATATAAAATATAATAGACAAAATCGGAAAAATACTTACATATATCATGAATACATCCTCAGTCGTGCCTATCAGCACTTTGTATGTTCTAGAGATGGTAGCAACCCGAGGCTGAGGGGTCCTGGGGACTGTGTATCGGGCCGAAGATAGCTGGTCGATCAATTGGACAAGTAACAATACTTGCCTTTTTGATTGATCCAGATTCTTTTTTTTTAAGTATTCATGAAGGTCAAAGGCCGATCTCCTCAGTTGGAAGTTCACTGGAGCAAGATTGACAATGATGAGGAGAAGGTCGTTTGAGAGGAGCCTCTTGATCCTGATAATAGCAGTGATTAGACAGTTGAAGACGAGTTGATTTGATGGGTTCGAGTGGAGAGCCTTAGATTTACGATCAGCCATCTTCATCTTCCAAAGGGATGCGATGAGCGTCATTTCCACCCCCTCTAGGAGCTTCTGGCAATCAGATTTGCGAGGCATGATTCGGGAGATGGGGCACTTATGCAGCCTTATGCAGCCCAGGGGTGCTCAAAGTCAAATGTGTTACATGAAATCATGAAGTGAAAAACCCCCGCCAAAAAAAAAATATGCATTATGATTTCATGCAATCTATGATTTTATGATTTCAACTTTGAATACCTTAAGTATGTAGCACTGCGCAGCACACACGGTTTCCTTTTTTAATTAATTTTTTACCACTTATTTTTCATGTTTTTTTTGAAATTTTAAAGTTATTTCCTAGGGTTTAAAATACGTAGAATTTTGCGGTAATATTCAATTTCTTTAAAAATCAAAGGATCACTTTCAAGATTCAAATTAAAAACATTTTTTCAATTAATTTCTTACAGCTTATTTCTCAATATTTTTTGGCATTTTGATTTTTTTTTCCTACACGTTAAGACATATAAAAAATTATGGGAATAACTATTTTACATCAAAATGAAAATTAATTCTTGAATATTGTATTTTGCATGTTTTTTTAACTAATTCTTACAGGCCTGATTCCCATTGCTGTTTGAAATTTTAAATTGATTTCCTGCATTTTGAAAGGTTTGAAAATTGATGGTTATATCAGTTTTGCATAAAAATAAGATTGGTATACAGCACAAATTATGCAAGAAATGGGGTAAACTCATATATTAAGATTGAAGCTTTGATTTTTGGGTAAAATGAATAATACCATAAGATTTGAAATCTCTCAAAAGGTAGGAAATGAATTTAAAAATTAGGCCTATAAGAAATAGTTAAAAAAACATGCCAAATACAATATTCAAGAATTAATTTTCATTTTGATGAAAAATGATTATTACCATAATTTTTCTGACCGGTCCTTGATGGGAGTGTTTCCTCCATCAATGACTGGTTTTGACCGGTTATCAATGGGGGTGTTTACTCCCAAACCGGTTGTCAATTGGAGTAAACACTCTCATTGATGACCGGTTTGACCAGTCATTGATGGGGGTGTTGACTCCCATTGATGACCGGTGGTGTTGACTCCCATCAAGGACCAGTCAAAACCGGTCCTTGATGGGAGTGTGTCCTCCATCAATGACCGGTGTAAGACTCAAAAAGTGATTGTAAGATCCTTTTTGCTGAATCAAGAAGAGGATGAATGAGCTGCAAACTCTGCCTTTCTATATTATCAGAAAACAAGACCACCAAGGTAAGCTTGGCAGTTTAGTTGGTGATAATGGATTATGTTCAAAGATGAATGTATAATTGTTGAAGGTTGATCTTGTTGTCCAACGAGTTGATTGAGCTGTTGATGTTGTTTCTTGTCTTGATGCCTTGATACTGTATATGTGTAATGTAATAGAGTTGGTTCTTGAACCCAAAAAAGCTGGGAGCACTATGCTTCAACCAGGACTGGAACACAGGACTGGCTCTTCTGTGTAATGTTTGTGAAATGAACTGTGTATATATTTTAAATCTGTGAACTGTACTACTTGTGAACTTCTTGTGCAATAAATATGTGTAATCTGTGACAGGTTTCCCACCAAAAATGTGTACTGAGTGGGATGAGGAGGAAACAACTGGCAGGCAGAGGCCTCCTTATATAGTAAATTATGAGGGATTTTAGCCCCAAGGGACCCCCTGTATGAGCCATTTTAGCTACCCTGTACCTGAAAATACTGAGGGATTTTGGCTAGACTATCTACAATGCATCTCTTTTATTTGCAAGCCGTGAGAAAGGAATTCATGTGTTCTGTGGCTGAATAAATGGGAATTTAACTGGTACAACTGGTGGCCAACTTGTAGTTCTGTAAGAATAAAGGAATTCATAATGGAATAAAGAAATTCAATATGCAATATGCAATATACCCCCATGCAATATACCCTCCAGCTGAGTGCCTCTGATCCTGTGATTTCTCCGTGTGACATCCTTGATTCTGCGTAACTTCTGATCCAGTAGAGATATGAAGGTGGTTCCAGGGAGTGACTAGGGGTTAAATTTTCCTTAGATTCCATTTCTGAAATTCATTTGTCCATATCTTGAGCCCTTCATTGATAAATAATAAAACTTTAAATTTTCTTCCTTCATACACAGGAATAATGACCACACCAGTCAAAACCGGTCATCAATGGGAGTGTTTCTGGTTGTTGATGGGAGTACACAGCTTCCATCAACAGCTGATATTCACCGGCCAATGATGGGAGTGTCTACTCCCATTAGGGAACGGTGGACCGGCTTTGTGGCCGGTCCTTGAGTATGCAAGAAAAAATAAATAAATAAAAAAATAAACAGGTTTCCTGGCGGAAAACTGGTCATGCCACCCACCCCCAAAACCGGGTGTACACATGGAAAACCTGGGTACGTTTATTAATGCCCTTGAAAAAATGTGTTTAATTGCCATTTTCAGAGTGCTCCTTTGATTTTTACAGAAACTGAATATTACCACAAAAGTCTACACATTTTAAAACCTAGGAAATAAATTTAAAATTTCAAAAAAATGAAAAATAAGTGGTAAAAAATTAATTAAAAAAGTTGTGTTCCAAACGCAGAATCCGCGTGTGCTGCGCGCAACAAAAACTGTGTTTTTTTATGCAGGCCCTTATTTTATGTGTTATTTTATTTGTGGTTTTATTTTATTTTTTCTTTTATTTTTTGGGCATTAATAAAAAAACACAGTTTTTCCGCGTTTACACGTGGTTTTGCTGCGGGACAGCGCATGCGGTTTCCGCGTTTAAACACGGTTTTGTATTCAAATTTTTATGGGTTATTTTTTGAGTCTTTTTGACTTTTTAAAGTTTTTTCCTACACTTTAAAAGGTGTAGAATTTAATGGTAAAAACGGTTTTCCATAAAAATGAATTTTGATTATTAATTATTTTTTTTCACTCATTTCTCAATTAATTGTTTGCATACATGTATGTACCTTATTTTTTATGTTTTTTTGAAATTTTAAATTTATTTCCTAGGTTGTAATGTGCGTAGAACTTAATGGCGCAATCCAATTTTCATAAAAGTGAATGGTTTATTTTTAATCATGCAATTCCACCCATTTTTTCACTTAAATTTTTAGAGCTTAATTTTCATTCTTTTTTGACATTTTAAATCTTTTTACTACACTTTCAGACATTTATAAATTTATGGTAAAAATCATTTTGCACCAAAGTGAGAACTACATCTTGTATACTCCATTTGACACCGTTTTTTTATTTAATTCTTCACTTTTTCACTCAATTGTTAAATTATTTAAAAAAACATCAAAAAACACCTGTCCAACGCATTATTCATTACCAATCTTTTGTTTTTATATAAAATGATTGTTACCATCATTTTAACCATGTCTTAAAGTGTGGGAAATAAATTTGAAATGTCAAAAAATAATGAAAATTAAGCTGTAAAAAATGAAGTGAAAAAAGTGTGTAGTTTGAGTATTAAAAGTGAACCGTTGAGTTTTAAAGAAATTGGATTGCACCATTAAATTCTACGCACATTAAAACCTAGGAAATAAGGGGTATCAAATATAGGAAATCCACCATCAGAAACCAGTCACTTTTCCAAAAACTTTTTTTTGAATAAATGGGCCCCAAAAGGGGTTAAATGGATTACCAACATGTTTAAAAAAGGGTGGATTTTTCCAAACCAGTCAATTAAATAATGGTAGATTTGGTTATATTTGACACCCCCTAATAAATTTAATCTTTCAAAAAATCATAAAAAATAAGGTACATACATGTATGCAAACAATTAATTGAGAAATGAGTGAAAAAAATAATTAATAATCAAAATTCATTTTTATGGAAAATGGTTCTTACCATTAAATTCTACACCTTTGAAAGTGTAGGAAACAACTTCAAAAATTCAAAAAAACTTGAAAAATAACCCATAAAAATTTAGATACAAAACCGTGTTTAAACGCGGAAACCGCGTGCGCTGTGCCGCAGAAAAACCGCGTGTAAACACGGAAAAACTGTGTTTTTTTATTAAGGCCCTATTATTTCTTTTATTTTTATTTTTATTTTTTATTTTATTTTTTATTTTGTCTTCTCTTTGCTTTTTCTTTTTTTTTTCACCTACAGCCAAACCGAGAAAGCTTACGGTCTCGGTTGGCAAAAAAAAGAAAAACATCGTCCAAAGCTGGAATGTTTGGAAGACTACACCACCCTGTAGGCCGGCTTGCATACAGGGTTTACTTTTGATTCTTTTTGCTATCTTTTTGATTGCTTGACTTCAGCTCATGAGGGTATTACCATCAGAATCCTGATGGCAATCTTGGTCAGGCCTGGTCTCAATGTGTTGCTCCCCCTGCCTCAGCCCTCCAGCACAGTGGCCGGCTGGGTCCCGTTGCTGATGCTGGCGAGCATTCTGATACCTGTATACTCGATGTATTCTTCCAAAGATTCGGACTCCAGATAATGTTTTTTTATTTTTTACAGAAATTCCGCCAACCGAGACCGCAATCTTTCTTGGTTTGGCTGTATATGGGCGGATACAACGCTGCCACAGATACGATACGCTGTGTGTATCATGGAGAATTCTGCAAAGCTGCATGGCCAAAAACCAAATTTGTTGAATCTCCTTGCAAATAAAAGCAGATTGGTCAGATAGTTTTTTTTCATTGGGGCTCAGATACATAGTGATACATGGCAGATACGGGCAGATACCGTATCTGTGGCAGCGTTGGCGGATATCTGCCAGGATTTCAGGGGGAAGGGGACATCCACATCCGCTGGCGGGTATCCGGTGACACTGGCGGATATCCGCCAGCTGATAACGGATATCCGCAACAGATATCCTTCAACCATCTCTAGCACAAAGTAAGAAGAGAAAAACAACATAATTAGTACATGTCCTCTGAATGAGCATAAATCAAAACCATACTGATTGTTGGTGTGCGGCACATTTTGGAAAAGCCCTTGATTTTTGATAGCTGACTTTGAAAGGTGATAACTTGGTCAAAAATGATTTGGTTTTGGTTTGTTGGAAAGCTAAGATCAAGGGCTACAACTTTTTCAGCAAAGACTTTACATGGAAACAAATGGTTCCTGAGAATAGATCAAATCAATTGAAGTTAGTCCAATGTAATCCAATGAGAGACCTACGTTTGAGAAGAGGGATTAAGCTCAAGAGACTTGTGAATTGGAGGACAGAATGAAGGTGGTTATGGTTGATATTGAGCTTAGATGATGATCAGATTGAGGGTTGATGATCAGGATGACGATGAAGAATCTTGATGGGTTGTGCTTGGATTGGAAGAGATTGGAGGTCTGACATCCCTCCCCTCCCTTGAGCTTTGAGTTCAAACCCAGGGAGTGAACATGTCACAGACATGTTCATGACATCCTCTTTCTCAGCAAAACTCAACTCACCACCACCCAGTCCTTGTAGTGCTAGTCGTATGATTAACCCCTGCTGACTCCTAGGTGGGGTTCACCAAAGATCCAGGTAAGGCTTATTCAGATTGATCATGCAAGAAGTGTTTGAAGTGTTTGGAACTGATTTATTTATTTTTTCAGGATGAGGAGATGCTACTCTTTTTGAAGATGATTTCAGTCCAACTCCAGCAATGAACCTCCTTGTCAAGAAAGGGTTTTTACCTAAATGACCCAATCTAAAAAGCCACCACATCAACAGGATGAGAGTCAAGCCAAGAATGTGCCACCTAGATCATTTTAATATCTTTATCTGCACATCCAATCACAATGTTGATCAACCAAAATAAACCCAAAAAAAACTGATATTCAAATTGCCTGATTACCGGTGCCATGATTTCCTTTTCCTACCCACTATCCTTTTTTCCATGTGTCATATCTCAATAAAAAACAGAAATGTGATCATCTTGGCTTGTAACTTATTACACACTTTCCAGACTGTAGTCTGTATTGCAAGCTTAGCGTTTTTTTTGTGTATCTACCATTTTATTGCAACACCTAATCAAGCGGAAGACACACTAATTTTCCCTGGATGTAGCCAATAAAATGAATGAAAAAACTAGTGATCATTGAGACAGACAATTTTGATAAATTCCTTTTCCACTAAATCTTCGAAAAATGCATAAAAACCATAAGCATAACAGGAAAGTGGTAACAAGATGGCACAAAAATGATTGTTTTCACTGATAGGAATTGAATCCCATAAGAAATCTTCATTCATATCTGTACACTACAAGTCATGAAGTTTAGGATAGTAACAGGGGTGATTACAATACTCAGATACACTAGAAGTTCTATGTGCTGTGTAACTAACTACTGTTGTGTGATGGTAGTATTTGTTAAAACGTCCAACAAATTCAGCCATTCTCCTTGCCCTGATCAGTAAGACAAAAGTGTTGGCTGCTTGATTCCCAGTCAAGCTTGGGAAAATTTGACTACTCTTATCAACAAAAAATGCATTGGCCCATAGTTTGTTGAACCTAGATTTTGTTGAATCATTCTTGAATAACAAAAAAAATTCAAGATTCAATCTTTCTGAAGTTCCTTTGTTGTTGAACAGAGGTTACAGATAGCCAAGCTGCCATCGTTAAATTCGAGCGTTACCGGCAAGTCAACGTGAAGCAGGGAACACCCAAACTTCTGGGCGGGATCGGCAGGATTGGGCCGAGGTGTTAAAGATGGAGTGGCTCGGCAGCCGTGGTGTCTAGCAAAGTGGTTGTCCGACTCCGGTGGAGTCGCTGTTGCGTTCATATTTAGCTTTGTAACGCTCGTTCAATCAACGGACTAACAATACGGTCCCGTCGACCAGATGAATCAACTAGCGACTGAATCTGATGAAATGCTACTCTCTTGATTCAACGCAGCGAAGACTAGCGACCCAATTGGAGGCGCCAGTTGTGGTCTCTCGCTATGAAGTATTACCAACCGATGACTGGTGGTCACCGTGATGTTGCTAAAGCGAAGGAGCAAGTAACGGTCAGGTTGGCTGTTCTGTTGGTTTCTCTTATCAACTCACATGTAATGCAGTCATCAGTTCGATATCCATATTTACAATATAGCTAATCCCGTCTACTTCTATCGATCCAAAACCAAAGAAAAAAATATAGACCCATAATAAGTCGTCTGAAGCGATCAAGAATGCCGTCGATGCGGCACCGTGTTTTATTCGTCCTGCTGTTCAATTTCTCACACATGATCTGGTCAATCACTGCTCCGGAACCCAAGCCCAATCCGACCAGGTCGACTAAGCTGCCAACGGGCGCAAGAAAGCTCGCAGTCCAATCTGTAAATAAGCCGTTGATGGGAATCGGGATTACCGCAGACGGTCTCAATGATCCTCGGTATCAGGGAGTAGTTACGAAGTATTTCTCGGTCATCACACCTGGCAATGGTAAGTATCTAGCTCTCTCTCTCTCTTTCCCCAAGCACTCTCTGGAGGAAATTTGGAAATAGGCTGATTGGATTTATACTCAAATACTTGGTTATTCTTGTGTGCTCATGATCGAATCATAGAATTGAAATGGGGTACCCTGGAGCCGAATCCGGGTGCTTACAATATTGCGGGCGCGTTCGTCCACAATCCCCTTTTTCTCTCACTTGACGCGCTTCGTGTTTCAGATGTTGGTCTGACAAGCGATTTCTTGCTTGGTATACTGTAGTAATCGAATCAGGGACTACGTACAGAGCACCAACAAACAGCTCCGCATACACACTATGTTCCCGTTTGTCTCTCTTCCTCGAATTATTATCCTCCACATATAAATCAGGTTATCACTTGATCCCTTTCTTGTGACTGAAGCATGCATTATGGACATTGTTTTTTTGTCTGTCTTCAGCCGGTCCCAATATCCAGGTTGGGTTGATGGGATAACTAAGGTGGGGGACATGAGACAGAGAATGAGCATGATCTTAGAATTCGTGATCAAGAATTATGGCCGAAATGCGATAGCAATGGATGTTTGCAATGAGATCCTTGATAAGAATGGAAACCCGGACAATCTTCCCTGGAAAAGGATAATGGGAAACAAGTGGTACGAGGAAGCGTTTCGAATGGCCAAGCAATTTCGCGATCAATACGCGCCACAGATGCTACTCTTCCGTAAATGATTTCTTTTTTTTTCTTCCTTTTTTTCTGTCGCTCTCTCTAGTTGTGCCAATCAAACAACTCAAACCAAATTAACACACCGATCTGAATTTGTTTTAGTGAATGACTTTGGTGCTGAGTACATGAACCCAAAAGCCGATGGACTGCTTGCAATAGCCACCAGTCTTTACAAGCAAAAACTTCTAGATGCTGTTGGATTTCAATGTCACTTTGCTGCAAGTCATATTCCACGTCACGGTAAGTATAGAGAACTAATAACGATCAATTGATGATGTCTGTAATAATGGGTGACAATTAAATTCCCATCCAGTCTTTCAGAAAAATCTAGAGCGCTTTACAGCAGTAGGTATGTGAACGTCCTACTTCCCGGAATACACTGCACATTTTCATGATGAATTGATACACACTTTTCATGTGACTCTGATATTGATTGATTCCAAATCAAAGGCTTGAAGGTGGCCATCACTGAAATAGATATGCGGATTCAAATGAACGAGCAGCCGAAGGCAGTCCAGAAAGACTTAGCCGCCAAAACCGGAGACTATGAAGTGATTTATGGGATATGTAGAAGGGTGAAGGGATGTGTCTCGGTGACTGCCTGGGGGGTCACTCCTAGTGACTCCTGGATTGGCCACGTAGAATACCCAGGTATGGTTTATTAATTGATTTGATCAGACGAGATTAGAATGTTTGAGATTGAACTCATCCTTCTTGTTTTATTCCTGACAATAGGATTTGGTAATGCCACTCTTTTTGAAAATGATTTTTCACCGACTCCAGCAATGAAACAGCTCATCAAAGACGGTTTTTTCTCCTAAGCCGATTTACCATTTGAAATAAACTCCAACAGGACAAAGCAGCAATAGCATAGTATTAGAAAGAAGTCAAGATTATCCAATCTTGCTCTTAATTTTCAATCTAGAAGTAGAGCCCTTAAATGTGCACATCATCTCAAAATATGATCCCAAATCTGTGACTTATAACTTATCTCTGTGACATCAATTTATACCCTTCTTAATATCATATTCTATTTCTTTTTTTCAATGTAATCAAATCCAAACTTGACAATCTAGGAACCTGAAAGTGTACACAAACACTTTCTTGACCGCGAGCCCACGTCAACAGAAGCAAGCAAGCAATGCTGAGCTGTCGTGTGCCATTGTTCTCGGCATGAAACATGCTGAACAATTCTTTTTTCTGGTGCAGCCCAGCGGGCTCCATTATTCCACGTAAGATGAGAAAGGTGCATCACAAAAAAGAGCATTCAGGACTCTTAGTAATCTAGAAAAAGTCCTAAATAGCTTGGTATAAATCCCTTGTCGCAAGCGGTGCCTAATAACCCAGGGGATGCCTCTTGAAGTACACTTTCTGACTCCCCACCGGTCCAGAGGGTCTTGCTATCCCAAAATCGAATGGATTGACCATGCTCTTCAGGTTTTACCGGGAACCTCTAGAAAGTCGCCATTCCCAGGGGAAAAAAACATCATGTTCAGGAAATTTTGCACCTGGAAATTTGCGTAGGATTCAAAAAGATTTGAATCCAGGTTGTGGTGTTTTTTTTTTTTGGTTTTGGGTTGATCATAAAAAACAACCTGGAGGAAATACATTAATGTTGCGCAGATTGTAGAGAGCACGGTACATTAAACATTCATATTGAAACTTTTCCACTTGAAACCATAGCAGCAAGGAAACCAAAACCTTTTGTTGAAATCAGGCGTCTTGAACACGAAGAGAGGTAGTAGAACTACTAGGGTACGTGGCTCATGAAGCTGAGCCTGCAATCGAGAACAAAGGATGTAATCTCTCGTTGCAAGCACTGCAGGGTCTGATCACCGAGGGAAAGCCTCGTGCCGGCGACTTTCTGAGTCCCAACGGGCACAGAGGCCTTCTGCTATGTATCCCTTGATGGAGGGGATTGGCCAGGCTGTTCAGGTTTTTCCCAGGAAAATCTACAGCTCTCCAATTCCTAAATATGTAAATACATCAACAAAAACAACATGGTCAAATGTGTATTCGCCGCTGGAAATCGGTCGAGGAAGAAGAGACAGATTGCATCTTAGCATGGGAATTCGAAAGCTAGGAGCCCCTTTAATGAGCTTGGCTCATCCTCTGCATCCCAAGTGGTGCATCGATTCATATTTGATCTTGATCATGTATTGTGCGAAAACGAAACGATAGACAGGATATTCTGCTGTCGCTAGGTATGTAAAATAGCAAACTGCAAAAAAAAAGAAAAAAAGAAGGAGAAAAAAAACGGGTAGAAAAAAAGAGGAAGAAAAACCCGGTTGACCGGTCGCTACGGCAAAGCAGACCGGCGCTCGTGACCAGATTGGCACAGATCAGCCAACCGGTGGGCATGCCTACGTGACTCCCCATCCCAAAACTCAAATGGGAAGACGAGCCAGCATCATCACCCAAACACCATCTATCATCCCCGCTTGACCACTTGCACCCCGAACTTAACACAATTCCCTCGCCTTCCGGCAGGCAGGGGCGCAAAGCGCCTCGCACAAAGTGCGACCTCCCGTCAGGGAGGTTGCAACCCGGCCATCGCGTGAGGAGCCAGTGCCGCTTTCCCAATGGCCCGCACCGAGGAGAGGCGCTACACACCCTCAATGGTCGAAATCGATCATTAAGACAGGAGCTATGCTCTCCTGATGGCTCAAATCAGTCAACAGGAATGGCTAGCACTGGGCATGAAAGGACTTCACTCCCGCGATGGTCATCAAGAGTGCTACCACAACGAATCTGCAGGAGAGCTACACTTCAATGACTCAAATCGGTCCTCTAGTAAAGACACATCTGCATGTGACCATCAGCCGTCCTCGCCACATGGCCACCACCGGTAATTGAAAGGTTACCCTCCTCCCACGGCCGGTGGTAGCAATCATGGATGACAGCCAAGTAGCCCTCCTGTTGACCAGCACAGTCTCAAATAAAAACTGCAATAAATTAATATCTTATAAGTCAAATTCTGTACTGTGGATATATGAATTATACATCTTCCCCAATAATTGAATGAAACATGTGCTATTTTCCTTTCTGTTTTTGTCTCATCATTTCATTTGTAACACAATCCATGAAATATCAGCTGCAAGGAGGCCGGAATATTTGAAACTGGAACAATGATCACTGATGACATTGATATGAATCAGAATGGTTCAGGTAAAAAAGTATAGTTGACAAATTTTTTTGGTTTGAAATTAAGTTGGCTTCAAGCAAGGCTTATATATTGCCCCAAACATTTTTGATACATTCTTTAGAGAAATCCTTCTGATACAGGTAACATCTATCCTATTAATTATTTAAGCAACTTTGCTGACAACTTACCTTGCATTCTGGCAGCATGTACAAGAAAGTGTTAAACTGTCTATTTTTGTTAACAAATTAGACCTTCTTACAAACAGTCAATCAGTTGGATTGATCAGGAGTGTTATAATTAGATAATGTCCAAATTTGGTTCATACTGAGGGTGATATTTTGGCAAAATGGACCAGGATTTAATAGGAGGATTTTATGAGCCAAAGGAGATTCCTCATTCTGCTGATAAAAGATGGGCAAACAGATGAGTTATGTGTCAATAAGCTAAATTTGTTTTAGACAAAGATTAGCAATCATATATCATCACACAAATGGTAAATAACCATAATATTTAATGAAAATGGGTGACTTGTATTTCAAAAACTTATCAAGATACATTAAAAATATTATTGACTTTGAATAGTCTCTATCATAAGATAAGCATTAATATCAATATATTTCTTCTCTTGCAATTAATGAAAGACAATTGAATTTACACCAATAATTTTTGAGGTCATTTGATCTCAACCTTGAGCTGAAGTTGGTGGTTTGTCCAGTGCTGAATGATAGTTCAGGACAAGCTCACTTGGAGTACAGTCCCTTGAGAGAACTAATGGAACACCCCTGTTTAATTTCAGCAGGTGGGGTTTGTTCTATTCTGTCAAGGGGATTTACAATGATTTTTTATATTGATAAATTATAAGTTATAGTGATGAAATTACCCACATCACCTTCCAATTCACAAGACTTTCTAATGCCAAGCCTTGAATAGCATGTATGTGTATGCTGTGGAGGAGTGATTCATTGAAACTCACACAAAGAGACAAGACAACCAGGAAAAAGAGAGAAAAAAAAAGAAGTGACAAACAGAAGTACACTAAAAAAAGCAACACCAATGTGATTTCTTGTTAAACTAGGTGTTAGATTTTAAACAACTAAGAGTATTCATTATTGATTAGAGCCATTTTCTTTCTATGGGTTAAGTTCATAATTAAAAGGAACAAATTAAAAACATGAGAAGACTGATATGTACCTCAGAGCAGAATAAAGTGTTGTGCTTCATGGCTGAGAGAATTGCTGATTTGGTATTGCCAATAACAGCTAGTATTGATGAGAGTTTGAGATATAGAAAGAAGATGAGATGAAGTATAAGATGAGAATGAAGTTAACTTCTACATAATAACAACAACATTCACTTGTTAGCATCAGGAGGTCTTAGTCTGATGTCCTTATCTAAGAGGTATTTACTTTGTTTCTTGCTAAGGGAGAGTGTGCCTAGTCCCTACAATCTATGGTGATGTTTCTGGTTCTGATTGCGGTCTGGTCAATCATTCATACATTTTAGTGATGATCCTCATCATTTTTCTTTTCACCCAAAATTGGAATTAATCATTGGCATCTTGAATGATTCTGGCAAGTAGTGCTGGTCTGGTTGGTTTTTCTGAGTGCAATAGAGGCTAGAGCTGTGATCAGATGTGAATGATTAGTGCTGATGTTTGCTTGATCTGATGAGAGGATCTGCTTAAATACTCACAGGGATTCTGTGCAATCCTTCTTTTCATCCTTTCTGTTGCTGTTGTCCTTGGTGACCAGTTTTAGAAACACTGGGTCTATAAGTTACAGTTATTGGTATAGTATTGTTATAGTATGGACAATAAAAATTCTTTGTAAAATTACTTCTTCTCAAAAATTTTGATGGTAAATTCACACTTAAATCCTCTGGAGGGAGCTTGCTGTTGCTGATTGAATGAGATAGACAAGAGTTGATCAAGAATCATCAGTGTGGGCAAACATTTTGAGTTAATTGCTACATAGTTGACAATGGAAGCTGAAGATAAGGCTAAGCCTGTCACAGGAAGGTTTATGAATTTTAATATTCAGCAACTGTGTGTCTTATTTTTTTCCTTGTCCAATGAGCCAGGACCAGAGTATGACTCACTTTGGCTTCCCTTTTCAAAGGAATACAACTGAGAGTGCAATTGCATCAAGATCTCCAGCCCAACAACTGAAAACTACCAGCCATAGCCCCTACCAGGTTTTTAATGAATCCATATTCCACTGCTCCCCAACTATAGCTTAGAAGAATTTAGAACTATAACATCAAAACACATGTGAATATAAAATCTAACAAATTGAAATGTTAAAAGTTAAGTCCTCCATTGGGGATAGATGATCATATGATAGCATGGAAACTAAGAAGTAGTAATTGGGAGCACCAATCTACTCCAATAATCAAATAAAACAGCCACTGCGTTCATTTAAGTTTGTGTCCCTCATTGGTTCACTTGCAACCACATATGCTGATTGAAATCTATGGCCAGTGCAATCAGGATCTAAGGAATTAGATTATCGGTAGCATTCAAAGTAAACTAAGTTCTCCAAGGAATAGCATTTGTCAAATAAATGTTTAAGGCTTTATTCACCAATACATAGACTTTTTTCTATTTCATTGAATCGGTTGAACTCTAGATTTCAATTCCTGTTGATGTGATTAGGAAGGACACTACATGGGAGGGAG